GGAGGATTAAAACCCTTTCATTATCCAAGCATGCCTTCGTCATCCATATAAACTTGTAACGCGAGAAATTTGGTTGTGTTTTGTCGAATCTGAACCAGCGATTTCCCGTCTCAAGTGGGATGTGTGCACTAGCTAATCAGACCTTACTTGGGATACCGGCCAAGACGATTTACCACCGCACCATCCAGCCGTGGAAGTGTTTATAGTGTCAGCTGCACTCTCGAAAATGAAGCCCTCGTACGCACAAAGCTCAATTTATTAGACTCCTTGCAAAAATTCAAAATTTGGCATCCATCGAGATTGTATCCTTCCTTTGCATCATATTTTAAACATTTCTTGATCCCTCTAACGTCCATACCAAAGTACTGTCTCCTAGATCTGTGCGCCACGCTTTGCTTCCTCCGTTGGGTATAAATATCGGCGTGGGCGTGTGTTTGGCAACCAGCTGAGACCAGAGATAGTCAACGAGAGGTCTGGTTATTGGAATGATAATGTACTAGGTCTTACTCGTAGATTTGATGATACTTAGTGTCGGAATACTTAGGTGGTAATTTATATCACAACTTGATGTAGCAGTAATAATTATTGTACGTCTAAAAATGATCCCTTCCTCTGTCTTCCTAGAAGGAAACATCTATAAACCGTAAAACCCCCTGTCTCCTAACGCCATTCCCAAACGGGTACCTCATTACTCATCAACACAATTAGTCATTATTTCAAAGGAAATACATATTGATCATTGGATCGTTTAGACATTAAACACTTAGGTAGGAGTCGAACTCGTTTGGAGTGAAAATTTGACGTGGTGGAGTATTTTGAATCATTGCCTCGTGAGCCGATTTCTTTGGTATAGCGACATTTGACTGAACTTGGCTCTGGGAGAATATTTCACTCCCAGGTTCGAAGAGGACACCGCCTACTGTTGTTCAGTCATTGTCCTCAATGGGATAACTTGTATGATATAGTACACGCGGTATCTTCAATTAAATCAATAATGCTGCCCGACAGCTTAGCATACTCTTACGTGATCTGGCAATGATAAGTAAGGAATGCTAATTTTAATGTGCATGTAGAGTTACAGGCGCCTTCAAGTGGTAGATAGGGGACGAAAATTTACCACCTGTCAGCGATACTTCCTTCTAAAATTCCGTTCTCACTGTAGATAGTGCAGAGCTAATGGTTTGGTGCATCAGTTGGTTTTATTGCACTACTCGAATCATGGACTATCCAGAACATTGGGCTCCTCTTCGACCCAGGCCACACCTTGAACAATCCCCTTATTCTCTTTTATTACTACAATTATCAACGATGTGCTGCCCGTGATGGACAGCCACTTAGCCCAATTTTTTACCCTAGAATTCAGTCTCTGCCTTTACACTACACTCTAAATGAAAAGAAGTAGCATTGGAAACTGCGTGCGCGGGAAAAAGTCTCAAAAAACCTGCAGCGCCAGCCAGGCGAGGCCTAGACACCGGGACCACATGAGGTGCGCATATTCATCTATATCTCCCTTCTTCGTAACAGTCGAGGTCGACTTGATTCAATCCACAATCTCTGTATCGGGTGCCGGGTACGCTCCGGAAACTCATCGGATGGCTTTTCCTCCATGATCAAGGTTGTTGATGAGAAAGGCTCCAACCCTACCATCTGATCTGATCGTGGTCAATTCCGTGATATTGGTGATAGGGGGATGTGTTGAGAGATGAAGACGATACAGACCGCGAAAGCGATTGGGAATTCTCATCAAAGTGATGATGAAGGTGTCACTCAATCTCGGCTCTGATGACTCTTCAGTGAGAACTGGAGGTTCGTAGGGGGCACTAATAACTGGTATTGAGCTTTCGTCCACTAGATTATTATTATTATTTCTTTTATTGTCCTATTTGAGTCTATGACTATGCAGGATATACAGGTTCTCTCTGCCTACAGGCCAAGAATACCTGTCAGTATTATACCCTCTCCTATGCTTCCCATATAGCTCCCTCATACAGTACCACTCCTCATAAGTCCTCATTAGATCATATACTTAGAGTAGCCCCATGCCCTTCATTATCTCTCCTCTCCATCGAACGAAGCGATGGCCATTTGCGGGCGTATGGCAGTCGGTGTGATAGCTGTTAAGCCAAATGACTCCTGTAGCCTATGCTAGTCAGCGTAGGATATGACACAAGGGGAATCTTCCGGAAAGGTTTTTTGTTTTGATTTGTTCATTTACGTGCTAGGAAAAGTGACTACAGTTGCACTCCTACTAGAGCTTAAGCACGGGTTGGGCCGTTCTGGATCAGGTTAACTACCATTAAGTACATCTACCTCGTCCCACTTAAATGACCGGACCACTTCAGACTTCACCCATGTATTGAATCATGTCAAGCCCAACCGTCCAGAGAACCCCCTTTTGGCGCGCCGAAGCGCAAATTCCTCCTCAGCCTCGGCCACCACGCGCCCAAGCCCTTGACACCTTTGCCATCTGTAGCTTTACCTTCCATTCATTCCTAGTTTTGGCTCATCTCAGCATCTCCTCATCTCATCCATGGGTCGTTTTCTTCACTGGAGGCCTCATCCAGTCGCCCACCAAAGCCTCCCCAGTTTTTATTCCCTTTTGATTCCTTCATGCAGCATCCCTCTGTCCTTCAGCTGATCTCGTCATCCTAGAAGCTTTGTAGAATTTCCACCCCTCCGGCCTTGCCCCGTCGCTGCTGTACACCTAAACGTGGAGGTCGAAAACGCGACTGAGAGCTCAAGACCGAGACACCGGTGTCCCAGCCTTTGTCGAACGCTCTGGTTGGTGTGCCGGCGAAATGTGGTGCGTATTTCGTCGGTGGCGATTCGTCGCAGGTCGAGTTGTTGGTGCCCTTAGTCGAGGTGAAGACGCATCTGAGGCCGGTATTTCGACCGTACCCTCACAGCGACTGGCAGTTGCGGAGGGTCTGAAATCTTCTTGCTTCTTTGATGGCGATTTGGCTTTTGGAGGTATGGGATTGCTTCGGTAGGTGGTGAGATGGTTGTGGAGAGGGCCGCGAGACGAGTTTGGCTAGGAATAATTTTCCAGAGAAATAGAAAATAAGATGTTGGAGGTGTCGGTTGTTATAATAGGTACATCAGACAGGTTATAGCCTGTCTGCGGTTCGTATCTGGAGTGTAGATGGTTGGTCTCGTTGAGTTGTGCAGTCGTGAAATCTCTGCAAGTCGGATTTTCGACCAAAAATGAGCCAACATCACTCCTCCCGATCGCCAACTGGACGAAAACTCTCAAATCCACCCTTTGTCGTGACTGAATCCCGCCTCTGGAAGAATATTTCACTCCCAGGTTCGTAGAGGACACCACTGACAGGTGTTCAGCATTCGTCCTCCCTTCGGGAAAGGCCTCGGAAGCCATGGAACTTCGAATATTCTCATTGAACCTTCTGGAGACATACTGAAGGTTCATGAGGATAAAAGGTGTACCGAGAACCTTCTGGGTACTTGTCGAAGAGTCTCAGTAATTCAAGTCACAGGGAGAATCTTCTCAAAGGGCAGTAATTTAGAATTTATATAAATGAAGCCTTTAGATCGCAAATTTCTTCCTCAGGGTAATTACAATTGATGTACTGTACTTACTAGACTGCCCATGCATGTCTTAATAGAAACCTTGACAGCCGGGAAAAATCGCAAAAAACACTGGGTGCGGGCTCTTCCGATACCGACATTAGGACTAAATCCGAAGACATCGTGACTCTTTTGAAGCGTTCTAGAGGCCAGCCAGCTAGGCGCTGCAGACTTCTGGGTACCTCGGAGAATTCACCCTCTGCCTTTCTAGCCTCCTTCCAATTCCTTCCCGAAGGTCGTGATGGAACGTCAGAAAAGTCTTAACAGAGCGTGATCGCTGCGTGGTAGCTTAGCCTAACTTCTTTTGTGCCGTTCCGGGCTCTGTGGAGTGCCGTTGACAAATCAACAATAAAAGCTTTGCTTATTAATTACGAAAACTTTGGTCTTGACGCCCAAATAGGTTCCAAAGTCGAAAACTCCTCTGAAATATCAGACCTATCATTCCTACAAGAGTCCTCTTCTCGATGTCTTCCCACTCTGCAGTCGCCTGTCCTTAAGACGTTTAACCACATTAGAGCGACAGTTCTCCTTAAGCCAAGACTCATGCTTTGTTTTTTTCGACTTGATTTCCTCAAAGCGTGTATAAATAGCGTCGTAAATTTGTAGTGGGTGATGGTCGGGAACGAATGAGGCAAGCTCCCATTTGCAATTGGAGTAACACCATTACCACTAGGTGAGGCGAGGTGTTAAAGTAAGATTGAGGTAGAGACCTCGTGGTAGAATGATAGGTCCGACATTGATAAGAAGTCGTCGACTTTAGATGCGCTAGAGGTTGCTTTCAATCTCAATTCGGATGCGATTTTGCCTGACTACCTCGGTTACACCGTGTTTTGATCGATTAAAACGACACCACTGGAAGGTGAACAATTCGAATTAACCGACTCATTTGCTACTTTAAACATGCGTGATCACGAAAACAAGATAAAAAATCGTAACAGTCTGTACATTCCTACGAGAACTCGCTACATCTGCGACAAGAATCAGTGTCATATTGATCAACTATGCTCAATCATCCGAGATTCAATAAAATTACCACTCCAAACTTCAGTGTTACCCGAAGTTCGAAGAGCGACCTCTCGGATTGCATAGCGGTATAAACCAGCCCAAAATTATGAATATCATGACCTCTGCTTACCGGTGAGGCAACGTGAATTGTAGCCCCGATTCCTCCTATATACAGCTGTGTCTAAGCATGACCATCGCTACTACTAACACTAATTCAACTTGGATGTCAAGTAATAACTAAAACTTCGGAAAAATTACAACGCAGAAAATTGTATCAACCTGCAAATCCGCAAGGTTTCCATGCAATCTAATGCGTTTGCGCTAAGTTAACCGCATCAAGTCATTCAATAATAAATTAGTAGTTTCCCGCAACCATACATAGCTTCAAATTTTACTTTCTTAACTTATGATCAGTTTTTTGGAGTTTGGATAGGCGTAGAACTGCCACCACCAACAATCTTAGGCAAACCCAGCCATGCCTCTTTTCCTGGTATACGTGTCCGACCAAACCCTTCGTCCATATCAAGTATTATCTTCAAAGCGTTGCGGCTACGTAGATAACCCAAAGATGCTGTACGTGAATTGAGTCCAGATTCATCAGTAACCATATGTGATATGTCCTTTTCCACACCGGGCATAGGGAGCAGACCCTGGAGAAATTCGTAAGCAGCTAGGGTGAAGCCGAACTGAGGTGATGACCGCAAAATACGAGCTGGTCCGCCCTTGAAGAAGGCCTTGATTCCTTCCTCCTGAAATATAGTTCGGGCACAATGACGTAAAGATGTATAAGTTGCCTCGCCTTTCCGAGCTTCAACTTGGAGACGAGTTTTGATTACATCACAAGGTGTGGTAAGATATGCAGCTGGCATTCCAGCAATCGCACCTGCAGTTAACAGCTTAAATATGCCAAGTGGCTTTGTGGGCGACTCGCCAAAGTAGTCTCGCTTGAGATGGGAGTACGTAGGAAAGTAGATGGCGGAGAAGGGAACATCGCGTAAAAGACACGCAGAAGCACCTTTATATAGACCCACGAGGCCTAGATTGCGGACAATCCACATTGCCGATCGGCGTGGTGCACTCTCGAGGGTTTTAGCCACTTCTCCTTGTACTTGAAGCCGGATTTTGACAATTTCAAGAGGGTTCGTGAATATCTGATAGTGTGAGTTTAACAAACAGGATTAGAAATAGAGCTAAACCTACCACTTGACAAGAGCCTGCAGAGGCACCAGCAATGATTTCGTGGTGAAGCCGTATGCTTCTATCTTTTTCAGAAAATAATGATCGAACAAGATCATTAATGGTCAGCTTGATAGCCTTTTCAGGCGCAACACCAACCAACTGAGGAAGAATTCCAGAGTATAGACCCTTAAAGCCCTCGTTTGCCACAACTTTTTTTGCGCAATCTAATGAGTTAATGTAAAGCATTTGTCCCACTCTTGAGGACCGCTGATTCTGCATTCGAGTTTTTACAAGATCGATAGGATACACTACAAAGGCGCCAAATGCGCCAGCTATGGATCCCAATGAAAAATGGTGTATTGATTGAAGAAGGCTTTGAAAAATATTATTGGTGGTTGCTCTTGATTTTGCTTCAGCACTTTCTACAACATCGCCGAGCACGTTCTGTAAGCTTCTCCAGGAGGGGTCAATTACCTTTGCGAAATCGCCGAGACCGAGCCGCCCAGTGGGCTCGTCAAGACTAGCAAAGTGGAACAGAATATCCGCCTCCATCGGAGTGAACAGAGAGAACCGAGTTATGTGCGCAGCGTGATTGAGGAATTCTGCTCTTGTAATTTTTCCATCGTCACTGTGCGCAATTGCTGTTCGTATGATCATCTCTACTAAATCCATTTCCCGAATGATGTTCTGAAAAGCCCTGACGTTGGAATATGAGATTTTACTACCTGTTCCGATATTGCATAGCGTGTGAAGATTTTCCAAAAGATGATTAGAAAGTTTATGTTTGTATGATTGCAAGATGATACGCTGAAAGTCTTCCGGCTCAATAAACCCGTCGCCATCCTTATCGAAGTATTGGAATGCTTGTCGAACTCTCTCTCCTTGTAAGCCTCTCAGCATTTGGCAGAACTGGGGATAGGTTAGCTCATGGCGTCGTTTCTTTCCACCGCTGTAAAGCTTTGCCCATTCGCAGTTCCAGTCAAAAGGTATACTGTCGGGTCCCTTATTCAAGTTGTACAATTTCATGAGGTCATCATACTTCACGGTGCCTTTCTGATGCACATCGAATAACCGGAATGCTATCTCGTACTCTGCGTCAGGTTTCGAAAGAAGGTTTTCGAATCTACCCCAGTCTGCGAGATTAATTTTGCCTGAGTCCTTCCTATCTGCGACCCGGAATAAGATAGCAAATTGCTCACGCTTAATCTTTAACTGCGGTATAGATACCTTGTTAGATCCAGACTCAAACTTTTAAGACGAGTGCCTACATGGTAGTTTCAGACTCACATAATCTTCACCGATTGGTGCGATGGCATTTATGAATTCCTCTTCGCCCATGTAAAGTTCTCCTGTTTGTGCGTCTTTTCTTGCATATTTGTCGAATATGGATTTAGATGATGCATTTATTTGTACGTCCGTAGATATTTCCGCGATAACGGATGTTTCTTTAGTTTCAGCCATAACCGACGGTTCAGTTGCCATAATTTTCTTTAAGAGATTTATGATTATATTTTGTAAATGTTTAATGTATTGATCATGTACAGTCTTCGTTTTACACAATGAATATTTAGTTGTAGATAGCCTGAAAATTACTATCAAAATGTCGGATCGCTTGGAATCTTATCGTCAAATTGGGTTTATGGAACGTGGCAGCGATGTAGGTCTAGGGTAATAAATTAAATCCAGCAATTAGAAACTACGTGATTGATGTATGCAGCATTATTATTCCTCAATTACAGTGGGCTACACTTCTGCGCCACTCACTACCTTGGGGCTTCAGTCCGTCGCTACGGTCCAATGCTTGGCAAAACTTTTTCCATCTTGGGCCTAGAGGTCATTCGCCAGACAAAATAATTTTTTGTGGACAGTACCAATTAGCCGAATTATTTAGTTTTATTGCATAGTTTAAAAGTACGAATCTGTAAAGTCTTCAACGCCAACATGCCCCCAAAATCACTTCCACTCTCATTACAAATTTTATCTGGAGAAAAAAGTCTTTGTCCCTGAGGCATCTAACACCTCCCATAGATTACTTAAGCATAGAAACCAATGTTCATAATGTCGTTGCGTCGTTAGTATCATTACGCTAGAAAGCAAAGAGGTGGTTCATAAGTCATGACAAGAATCGGGATTCAGAATGTGTCTAGTATTCACGGAATCTTCAGGAACCTTGTACAGATTGGTCTAATCGACAGCATAATCAGTCGTGTTGTAGATGACGTTAGGAACCGTCGCTCATGCACAAAGCCTTATTAATGGCGTTGCTAAGTTATACTTACGGCTTGGGGATTTCAGGCTTAATCGATCTTCTGATTACCTCATAGGATTCATTGCAGGTGTTAGAAGTAGTTCTATCGACGGATAAGTTTGAATAGCGGGAAGGCCGCAGGGGGGGTAAGACAAATTTTCCAATTTCGCTGTACACAAATTGTGATGCTCGTTTGTAGCGACAATCGGAGTATTTTTCATAAACTGCATTGTGGTGTTTTCTGGGATTCTTGCAACATTCCTTGATCATCTCCAGCAGTGGTTGCAATTGACTCCAAGTGTAACCAGAGTAGTAAACGTGTTGCTTTGTCTAAAGAGAGTAAGCTGACATATCGTAGAGAGCGAAGGTGATTGGACTGACCCATGACCCTTTCCTTAGCATTAGTCGAGCGAGGCAGTGGGCGCCGGCGGCAATAAAGCTGGGCAAACTCCCGACGAATCGCTCGTCCATTATAATTACCTCAAGAAAGTATTTCGCAAGTGTTCTAGTTTCTAGGTCGTATTCATCAGCCTTGCTAATACGTCGAAGGAAGCTCATGGGACCAGGCCATCCCAGCTCGAATTGAAGTATACTAAGCATGAAGCGTTCAGCTTTTAGAATCTCTTCGACAGTATATCCCCCATCTACCATATAGACAATTTCAGTGACAGAAGGACAATTAATTTCTTCATATTTTGCGGCGACGAAAATTGCGGTGGCGCCAACCAGTTGAAGTTTCCCTAATGAAACTATCTTGTAGGAGAGGAATCGATCAACGTAATTTACACATAGGAATAATGTTTCGGGAAGGAGAGCAAACCGGTGATGGACTTGGATGAGCCAGTCCATCAACACTGAGCGCATGGACCACTGTATTTCGGTTTGGAGGTCCATGTAGTGCGCATTAGGAAGCATTTTAATCTGCCGGAAATATTAGTTGTTTATTTTCAAGAATGGAATATTTAATGTAGAATATGTTAGAACAATCTGGTTTTCAGTAACTGAACGGATCAGAGGGTTTGTAGATTAAACCAAAATAACTTGTGTGAGTTAGGCACTTACTTCAAGTTCTCGCATATAGGCAAATATTTCATCACCGTATTCGGCGACCATGCTAGTGTCCCATTTCTCGTCTTCTATCTCTTCTACTGTTCTTTGATTATCAATTAACCTTTTGGCAGATTCAAGCTCTTGCTTTACTTTGGCGGTAATTTTTGGAAATGGGATGGTTGTGGCGCCTCCTGTTGTATTGTCTCCCCGTGATCTATATGAGTGTGTTGTCATATAACCTTGTTCCTCGACACATTCTAATTCTTCCTCATCTTCTTCGTCGTTGTCATCGTCGACCCAGTATTCATCGGCTTCGGGAATTGTGAGAGATTCTGGAATTCGTGATACCCTTCTTTGTGATTTATCTTCATGTAATGTGCAGACTTTTAAGACTTGATCGTTTTCTTCTTGTATTGATATGTTATGAATCCCGGCATCTCGATGTACTATTTCTTCAATAATATTCTGGGAACTGTGACTGGCGTGATCTATATGCGGGATCTTATTGTCTCCTCTGCTGTTTTCGTATATTTGCTCTATAGTCGGAGTGGGTAATAGGGGTTGTACCTGTGGCACGAGCGAAGTGTCTTCGTTTATTAATGATTCGGGCTCAATAATTAAATTTAACTTCGCGGCATTATCTTTATAAACTGGTGTTGAACGTTTCGAAACTGTACGCTTGGTTATAACTTGTGTTATTGGTTGTTTAGTTTTCAAGACAGATGCGTTTTGGCTGATATCAGAGATAGATGAGCTACTTTTTTTGAGGTACTTGGTGGCTGTTACAACGAGTGGCTTCTGGGCCGGCTTTAACAATGTCGAAGATTTATCTTTGAATTCAACATACTTTCCTCTTTCACGGACTTTTTTTTCAAGACAGCCATCAGCTTGCACTTTTGCAGCATTTGCTGCCGTGTTACTGACATCTCCAAAAGCAGTCCTTTTAGCCGCGTTCTTCAAATTTCCGACTGGTAGCGAAGAAAAGTGGCTCGTGGACTTGTGACTTTGATGATGCATCTGATTACCAATGGCAGGAAGAGCGTGGTTTTCGTCGGCCTGCGCGCGAACGGCTCGTATTGGGCGATGTGGCTATTAAGAGGTAAGTCAACTTATAAATTTTTACTTGGATTGAACAGAAAGTGAGAATCGTCTGATGTGAGGTAGGAGCAAATCTCGTGGTACAATTCGGTGAAATTTGGGAAACCGTGTATTGGAGGAGAAATTCATTCCGCTGGTAAACATACTCTTGCGTCCATTCTGATATAAATATTTGTTTTATGGGACTTGAGAATGAAAGTTACAGTGTCGACAATTTGGCTTACTCGGAAAGAGACTTCTTTCTGCAATAATCTGTGAAAACGCGTCCAAAACACGAAATACGAAGGTGAAATTATAGTATTGAGGATAAGCAGATGTAAATTGCGACGGCCTGCGAATCCAAGAAAAGGTCGAATTGGATATCTAGGGTGCGGCCGATCTTTCAGAACTCCATGAAGTGAAATTTGATGATATTGAGAGCGGATGTGCTAGAAATTAGTTGACAGGTCTGGATACATAAAGGCATAATTGAGTATGAGCGACAAAATTAATTGTTATGGCAACCACGGCCCAACGATACCCCTTAGCGCGTTATCGCTCATTTGACAACATCCGTGCCGTATTAGCTGTACGCGTCTTTAGTCGCGCAATGGCGTGACCAGGATTTAGGCTCATCATCCAGTCCATCACTTACAATTGCAATATAACCACATACAAGTAACCCAAATATGTCAAATCAAAAGAAATTAGACGAACAGCATAAATTCTTACAAACTGAAAAAGCTAAAATTCACAACACACTTTTTATTATAAACCAGTCTCAACCAGAACGCGAAGAAATGAAATGCCTTCTGCCAAGGCTTGCTCATATTGACTATTCAATCTGAGATCCACAGTTGTCGAAAACAGCGGCTTATCATGTAGTAGTCAATGCAAGTATAATCCTACTAATATCGACTAGCATTTGATGATTTTCTAGTCCTAAGGATCGTAGTATTCTGTCATATTTGGTACTTGACAGTATTTGTCTCTTTATTTATATCATGATATTTATTCTGCAAGTGAAAGTAAAATTTATCGAAAAAATATTACCCTTGATTATTAGAGATATTTCAAGTAACAAAGATTAAAACCGCCCTCAACCGAATAAGTTGTCTTAACACTCACGTCTCCACTCCAGTTATCTAAACAAGCTAAATTGGCCTTTGAAATATGTCTTTCTCTGAAGAGAGCATTCCTAATCTTGACAGGGAGAGAAGATCTGTGGTAATTACCCAAGCTTTGAACGTAGCAAAGTTACAGAACATGGTAAAGTTCATGCGTGCGACGTGGACCTGCGAAACTTACGAGCTAGATACTGTTACCAAGTTATAACAAGTATTTAGCACTAAAAAATTCTTATTACTCTGCGTTCATAGCCGTCTCATGTCATCGAATCTCAGTCAGATTCATGTAGTGTGCGCACAGACTATCTCTAAATTGATTGCAGATGAAAAATAAATAGCAATGGTATTTCAGTGTCTTGATCAGATCCAATCATGTAACTATTCATGAGGCCAAGTAGTAGATTTGTATCCAAATTATGGTTCTCGTACATTCACTAAGAATCCCTAATTCGAAATCCACGTGTTTCATGCCAAACTATCAACTTTTATCTCTCCCCGTACTCAGTTAGCAGTCGACACGAGATCTAATGTATAACTCAGATCAATTTATGCTAAGCCTTACTATTTACACAAAATTATTGGTGAGGCGATAAACTTTGACATACACCTCGCTTTTGCCTGTCTCTGAAACCATATCCTCAGTATCCTCCAATGTTCGAAATTCCATGTGCAAGAAAAGAGAATACTTTAAGCGCCTCTAGCCTTAGTGGAATCCCTTTCGTTATGAGTACTTGAAATGCTCTAACGAGTGAAACTAACTTCAGGTTTGTCGCATGGAAGGAAACATCGTTAAGAATTCATTTGCTATCCTAATCTCAAAAAATTATTTCGTAATACCCTTTCCTATCAGCTTCGTATCGGCGCAGTTCATGTGCTTGACTTGTCGCGTTTTGTAGGTTTGTACTTGTCTTGGGCTCGAATGGATTGAGCTTTGTTGTGATCAAGAGCTTTTACAACCCAGATGACCTAATCGGATCTGGCTTTTGGAAAAGTTTCAAACCAAGAATAAGTTCATAAGATATGCACGCTGTTGAGGAAAAGTTATGTTGTGCTGCATAAAGGCGTGAGTAGCCTATCTTGAAGTTGGTTCATTGATCTCTCTAGTCGTACCTCCGCAACTCCTCCTTCTACACACCTAGAGAGGAACTTGGGAACAGGTCGGCTGAGCTACACTATGCACAGTATGGACTGAAATATCCCTATGTCATTCTCGACTCCTCTATCTGGATACTATAAACTCAAAATTTCTTGTTGGGAAGTTATAGACTGATCCGTGCGATATCTGTTGCAGGACAGTCGAGACTCTGAGTCAAACAACCAGCAACTACAGACGCTTCGATAGGCCACCCAACAATATCTATTGAATTATTAGTAGGTTAATGTTAATATTTCAGCACGTGCGATCAAGTAACTAGTGTGTTCTGCTATTCATCTATCATCCGCATGCTGTCGCTCTCTTTCGGCCTATTACTAGTTGAAGCGCACAAGCAGTGCAAGTTTGTTTTCATCTTTTCTCACCACTTCCACATTCCGACGGGTCAAGATCCAAAGAAAGCTTTCAGACTGTTCAGATCTTTGCTAACATTTACACTTTTGTAGCTCGGGTTTCAAAGCATCTCTGATCTGCTTTCATTTGAGGCTTTGTGCCCTACAACAACGCACCATCGAATTCCTCTCCCAACCAAAAATAATACAATTTCTATACCGATCTCTAGAGGAGACCGCTTTCACATAGCACTGTCCGCTAGCAGACTTTGTGTTGTTTTTATTCCATAGAATCTGATCTTTTCTTACATTCCCCGCACGCGGCTCAGTAACTCCTCCTTTTACTCGTAACATACCCGGAACAAAAGCTCTCGTCATGGAAAAAGGAAACACTACAGCACAGCAAACTACGACAGCAACACTTCCCATTACCGAGCATTACAACAAAGTAGCGCACACCATAAACATGTCGCCCTCTGAAAGCCTGCCGCCGAAAAGTGTTGCTTTTGAGCTCCTATTCACACAGTCATCTCAACATAGAGCGCGCATACCCATGAGAGTACAGATATTCCCACATGATACTACTGACTCAATCGTCACTACAGTGAAGAACTTTTACGGTCTATATCCGACTCCTAATTGTGCGAAAGGCGTAAGCTTCGAGGATGAAGATGGGAACACCCTTATTGCTAGATACGAAAACTTTCAGAATAACATGGTTATTTATGTTCGTGTTATCAATGAGCCAGTAACACACACAGAATCAAATGGCTCGTCCGAATGCCAGACTGGATCATTAACCCCTCAGATCACACATTTTGTTAGTGAATCGCATCAAATGCCACCGCCTGAACCAGCACAGGACTTCAGTTACAGCCCATTGCTATCAAGACCAAACTCCAGGACGTCCCGAAAGCGTAGTCCATCTCCCAACCACGGGCGTAGTCGGCGCAGCGCATCCACAAATACAAATCCGCCCCAAACTAAAAAAAATCGAGGTCAGAACGGCCCAAAATCTCGAGGATTGAATATACACAATCACTGGACTGAGTACCAGAACGAATTCTCTTCGAGTCACTTTGACAGTGACGAACATTCAACTTTTACGTCGAACAGGAATAAGAGTGAGCATATCGGCAGTACAGAAATTAGCTTGGATAATATAGTTGAGGGGGGCCGGCGAAAACGGGCCAAATTCGAGAGCAGTGTAAGTTCTTCTCCTCGCTATTGTCACTTCTTAAACAAGATTTTTATTCTAAGAGAGTAATATCAGGAGCTGCCTTTATTTGCCCCACCTCAAATGCCAGCTGCCGCATCAAATTCATCTATATCACCCTCGCGTCGTATCGATAGCCAGCGCTCCGTAATTTACACACCTTCTAACCCGCAGCATCCATTCTCAAACCCCCAACCTCTCCATTCACCAAAGAGTTCTAGCAATGGTTTAAAACAGACTACCACATATCCAACACCTGCTACTGAAAACCGACGCACTCGTGGCGATATTTCTAGTCGTCAATCTTTAAACAGTACGCCAAGTTGCAATAGTTCTAGCATAATTCCTACACCTGATCCGACCGTAGGTAGCTGTATGTCGGAAGAAGACAGGGATGTTGCCATACAGCTCATGCGACTGGGTGAGTGTTCAACTAGCTCACATGGACGTACTTCTGCTTCAACACTCGACGATAATTTTAGCGGCAAGGCCGACGCTACCTCTTCCACAGGCATTGCTAGCGATTGCGAAAGTGATCTGCGGCTTGAAATACCTCCCAGCAATCGAGTGAAGCGCGAGACAAGCTTATCGCTACCATTAAATATTACTAAAAGGTACCGTCCCCATCAGCCAGATACTGGACCAAGCCAAGATAGCCCTGAATTAAGTTGCGACGATATTGAGTATGAAGACATAGAGGACGAGACTTTTAGGCTGGGAGCTAAGGGAAATTCATCTGATGCAGATCATCAAATTAGGCACGTTACTTCTAAAGGCAAAAGCCACGTAACTTCTAATAGCAAGTTGCGGACAAGTACCTCTACTACCAAGACATCCAAATCCAGTAGGTCCAAAGTACAAAAAACTAGTCACAGTAAAGTGAAGAAATCTGTGAATATGAGTTATGGAAAGCCGATTTCGCCAGACTCGTTGCCTACGCAATCGCGCAAGACTTCTAATGCATCAACTACCAACATGCTGTTCTCAACAGGTGGAGAAGAAGAGGACCTTTCCTCCAAACCTCGTTGCCAGCGTTGCCGCAAGAGCAAAAAGGGCTGCGACCGACAACGTCCTTGCCAGAGGTGCAAAGACGCTGGTCTCAGTGCTGATCAATGTGTCAGTGAAGATGAAGGAAACGGGCGTAAGGGACGATATGGACGACATATGGGCGTTCCAGTTCGGAAAGATGAAACTGGAGTGAATCTGGAACTTCAGCCAGCAACTCATGCCGTCAGGGGCCAAGGAAGCCCGAGTAAGAAACGAAAGCGATGAATCAGTAGCCAAGCAGACTACATAGATTACTAATCACTTGTTTGTACCGTCATCAGAAATCCTGGAATAAGGTTTACGGAGCCATTGTTATGACTGAATCCAATCTTATCATCTATGGGAATTGCCGGTACACTCAGAACCAGCTTAGCAGATCTCTGTCAATTCTCCTTCTGGAAATCTTGATAATTTCTGCGTTTCTGGAACGATGGTGAGCTTCACAGGCTCTTCAATTGGTATTATGCGACTAGATCTCATAATTTCCTACTCCTGAAAAATCCAACTCTAATCCCGGTGGGAATAAGAAAAGTTAAGATTTCTTACTAGCTCTAAAAGCTATCAAGCCCAGAGAGTCTATTATAAAGTTCTCAGGCCTCACGCATCGTACATGATAGATTAGCATAATATCGCCATTCCCCAGCTTTGCCGCTCACCCAATATCAACGCATTAGGATTTCCAAATATACTGATGCGACGATTTTGGGCGCCTAGCTTGAACACCAACCTCGTTCAGAATAGTCTACCTTGTACTGCGACAAAGTAATGCACTATGTAGTGTAATTTTTTCAATAAATGGCATGAGGAAACATGATTTCTAGATATTGGCTGGAGGGGTCAATCGATATACTAGGTGGGCGAAATATTCATGGAAAATATATTATAGTCCAATAATCAAACAAATCATCACTAATTTCCAGAAAGTCTTTCAGTCAAATTAGTTCCATGTGACACAACATATGTTTGTTTCAAAAATTTACCCCCAATTATCTGGAACCACTCATCACAGGGTTTTTTAGCGCTCAGCATTGAAAATGTTACTCTTGCCAGCTTTGCATGTCGCAGTTGGAATAAAGGCACAGTGGGGGACAGGATGTTTGAATCCACGACTAATTAGGCATGCAGCTTGTCAACAACTGCCAAACGGAAGCGAGAGTGGGGAAATTTAGAGCGGTGGACCGGTAGAGATCGACACGTAGTGGGGTGAGTGAGGGGATAGAGGGGTAAATGATGGTCAGATAGCAGTGCGACTGCTAATGAAGATCATTCGGTCCCTCCAACATTTAGGTGCAAACGTGTGGCCACACTTAGTACTATGAAGGTAAAAAACCTTGTGGGCTAGTCTGTGCTCTAACACACGGTAAGCAGTTAGAAGAAGAGAGGGTTCGAAGCAAGTCGGGTCTACAGACCCTCACAGCGTGCTGCATGTCAATGCCGCAGGCCCACTATTTTTAGGGCAAAGTTAGCCAGGCTTCTCTGATAACGGGAGATCGGCCCGGCCTAGCTTTTCGGCAAACAGATATAATGGATCTGGGGTGCTCGTTTATTTTAGACTCGCTAAGTAAACCCTAGCAGCCTGGCATTTCATATCTTGCACACGTGATATTCTGAGAACCTTGGATTTACCATCTGGACATCCACTCTAATCATGCATGTTTCGAGTTTCACTATCCGCGCCTTGAAAGTCAGACTAGGAAACCCTGTTGCTCTGTCGCGTCAACTGCTTCTCGTTGCGAGAAGCATAGCGATGTTACCATGCTTACTTTTCTCCCTCTACCTAGCTCGTACAACTGCCCGACGCCTACAACATGCTAAATAAATTTCAGAAGCTTCAACAGAGCCTCTAACACTAGCTTCATACCGTGTTGCAACTGAATGTAGATTTTATCCAGCTTTACCAACTTACCGGCATCGAGATCCGTGTCAAGGAATATGAGGCTGCTGCATCTCGGACCTTTCAGGGAATGCAGATCTACTCAAACTAATGCCTCCGCCATCCGCACAGCTCTGATCACACTGAAAGACGACCTGCTACCCGGTATTAAAGTCACGAATAATGCCAAGCTAACACTGTTGCGAACAAAATCTGGTAGTTTACACTAGGGCGATGTCGGCCTAGGATGGTCCCGAATTAAACTTTTGCTTTGGTGGAGTCATTGGCTCATAATCGATTAGAACTTTTTCGAAATGATTTAGCAAATTGAACTGCCATAGGTCTGAGGAATACTTGGAACTTGATATTTCTCTTTCCATCAAGATTGGGTAAATAGTGTGAAAGATTGAGGTATCTCGTTACAATCTGTGTCGGAGCTGGCCAATTTTGTATTTCTTTCTAGGCCGCAGCACGATAGGGTATAGCTATAGCTATCAACATCCGGAAATGAAAAAATAGCTAGCTTCAAGGGATAGTAATGAATCTGGACATAGCTAAATACTCATCAAACTTGGGAGAAACGATCTCTCTGTTAACAGAAACGCGTGGGCCCCAGTAGAACCTCAAGCTCAGATGTTGTCGAATTTTTCGGTCAAGTCTGCTTCTACAACATGTTTTTTTTGAGGATTTGAAAAGAGATTGATATTAAAACGCTATACAAACTTAGAAAATACTAAAATTCTTCTCATAAATAATGGGGTAAAAGAAGCGACATTAAAGGGTTAGTTCAGGGATTTAGACTATTCTAGTACTACCGGGCTTGGTCTAGGACGAAGAATGCTTGCGCCAATAATTAGACTACATGGAAGGCTTGAATAATCATAGTGCCAGAAGGATTTAGCTATCTGATGCGGTCAGAAGCAGAGCCCCGGTCGGTTGGAGCGTTAAAGTCTTCAGGAGCTGGATTGAATTGGCCGCTCCTCTCCCCTGTCGGTCCTCATGATGACACCAAGCTTCACTCACTGGCAAGCCCGTCCTCCCAGTATGGCGTGGGTCGTAGCCGGAGTGGGGCCGGCGCACTAATCCTAGTCCCTTACAGAGGCTCCGCTGACCATAAGCTACGCTTACCATGGGATTTGGCGGCGCATCGCTGGACGTTTGGACAAAAGACAGCTAGCATAGTGGCCGATAGGCTTCGTCATTCTTCGCTTGCGCGTGTGAAAATGCACCTATTTATCGCAGGCTTTTTTTCCATTCGACGGCCGGGAGGCGGAATTTATTAAAGCTTAAGTGGATGGCCGTTGTTTAGAATAATTCAGTATGGGTCGCATGTGGCAGTGGGATCCTTTCCGGCCTCATTTCTCCGCACGCGTCGGTGTTGCCTCGAACCTTCATCCAGGTGGGGCTAGGAGGAGCAATTGACAGTTTTTCGGCAGCCCTTGCTACTTGCAAGCCCCGTCTGTGTCCAACGATTGATAGTATGTGTGCAGGAGCATCGATTTTGCCCGCTTACTCGCAGTCGATGCCTATGGGTGATGGTCGGCTGTGATGGTGGAAATCACGCACTGCACCGCCCTACGCGAAAGTTGAACTGCAAGCGAGAGTGTTATAGATTTCCCATAGACTATTTCACTTGTCTACACAACGCTGATCGGGTGTCCTGAATCCTTGGCTGGATACCCCATATTCGTATTTCCTAAAATAGGTAGGTCTACAGAGCTGTTGTAGTTGACCAGGGTTAGCGAGACGTGATTTCTCAATGCCTTTGATCGGGCTCTGCCCAGGATCTGCTTGGGCCGTGTACGAGTCAAGGGTACTCATCCACCTCGCCGTGGTTGTAGATGAGGACAAGCTGCCCACGCCCGACCTCCACTCAGAGCGTTACCTTCCCAATGTAGCATGTCGGACGGTCCGGCAAGGGCGGGCGGCAAGCTAAGTTCCATTTGTAGTCAGGGATATGACTGGCTGAAAAAGCGTGAACGCCTTATCATGGTAGGGAAGCTACACCGATGGTATCAGGCTGACTCATTGCCACTGACAATGCCCGACGTATCTCTCTCGTAGCTGGCGTGAGTTCTGCCTTGGCCGCACAGTTTCTCGTGAATACGCTCGGCGCAGCAACAGGTTTGGTAGGCAGACTACCATCGTTGCCATGTCGTGCGAAGGGATCATGATTCCCGCCTTAGCGTCTACATCCCTGCCTAAGATCTCTTAGAGCTTGGTGCAATTTACAATCACGAGGGCCGTTCACTACGCTCAGAGATAGATTAATTTATCGAAATCTCCGCGCGTACTTGGGAAGCTCCTTATGTCGCTTGACCACGGCCCGACGAGGTATCATCCCGAGACTGGATGAAGCGAAGCGTTGTACGTCTCGCCTGCACGCGTTAATCCGTGATCGGAGCTTTCCTGCGCGTGGCGCTACGCCCGAGGAATGTCCATGGCGGATGGCTCGGAAATGCAAATTCGGGCCGTTGGAGGATTCATAGTGCGGCGCACTTGCTGACGGGGGCCCTTTGTGACGGCAGGGATCGTGCAGTGCGGGTTGTGTCCGAGACCGGAGGGGCCAGATGAGAGCACTGGCCTTGCAGGCCGCTCTCTCCTCGTGCGCAGTGGACTCGCTGATCTTATTCCCCACAACGATACGCCGACTAAATCAGGGAAACAAAGTGGATCTTTGTGGCCATTCATAATAGTCGCCTTTCTTTGGCCATAGGGTTCGAGGTCAAGTAGAATAGATGAGATGGAGCAGATGCAGGATGGACGTCATAAGCGCCGGCCCGCTCTCGTCGGTCTCAACTGTTCGACGCGCGCGCTGTGTATCAAGGTCAGGTGATGCCCTGACGTGTATCAGTCGTGTTCTTAGGTAAACATGAATTAGGGTATTTGCAGGATTGAGGAGTTTTTGGTTAGCAAGGTAGAGATCAACTTTAACCGAGACTTCAAGACTTCACAGGCAATCTGTGATACTTATTACAGGCGTGCTTAGAGTTCGGAGTCAAAGGCGATAATCCGAAGGCAAAGCGTGCCGAGCCCTAATCGCTTAACCGGCTGGACAGCAAAGAGGTTGGGCTACAGGCAAGTGCTTATCATTCCCGGTCGTGCTGTTGCGGGTTTACCCGGCGTGAGTTGACTGGCCCGATCTGTGGGCTCAGCCTTGCATGTGGGGGATTTAGCAAACGGCTCAGCCTTTTGCATCAGCCAAGATGCTAGGTAAGTGCTTATGTAAGGTGATAGGCAGGACGTATCTTCAGTCGGCATAGTGCGATCAAGTTGATCCCTCCCACGGAAGAAAAATTAATTATTTGTGGCGTTGCTTACATGCAGCGACAATTCTCCCCACCTTTCCTTT